TAGGCGGGGAAGGCAGAATGAATGCTGGGAGAAAGAAGGGCGGAGTCAGAGAGCTGCTGGAGAGAGACTTGCCGAAACTGGGGTGATACACAGATTCATAGAAATGGGCTAAATTAATATATAAGAGTTGGCCAATAAGAAGCTAGAGCTAATGGGCCAAGCAGTGTTTTAATTAATACGGTTTCTATGTGGTTATTTCGGGTCTAAGCTAGCTGGGCGGCCGGGAACCAACGAGCGGCCTCCTTCAACACTCATCTGGATGCTATTCACGGGGCAGGCTGAGCGGGTGGAAGGCACACAGCATGTCACTGCTGTTTGAACAAACCCAGTCCATGCTAGGTTCTCCACTCCACCTGCTCCCTTGCGTGGACACCATTCCCTTGTGTGCTTTGGGAGGGAGCAAGGTATGCCGTGTATTCAGTTCTCAGAAACAGCCATCCCTCCCCAAGACAGCAGCTTCAGAGTCAATTCTCTCACCAGGCCAGCTACTCCGAGCTGAGAGCTCTCTCTCTGCAGCGCCCTCCCACCGTCTGCATTCAGCTGCTTTTCTTGGTGCATGTCTTTATGGGGCGGAGAGGCGTTCAAAGAATTCACGGCAGGGATCGTGTCAAGTGGGGTTGGACAGCGGCAATGGGGGTGACCCGGTAGGTCAATGGGGGTGATCTGGTAGGTCAGTGTAAATCCCACACCAACTCCTTTCTAGCCCAGCTGCCAGCTCTGACCCTCCTCACTGTTACCGGTTCTGGAGAAAACCATGGCTCACAGGCGTGGGCGTCCTTAACACTGGAAGTCTGACAGGGCCCACTTGTTGCCCCCACACCCAACTCCTCAGTGCCTAGTTTGGGGGTCTCATATATCTTGCTTCCTGTTTTGAATGGTAGGTTCTCAAGTGTAAGGGGGTTGATTCCTACTGAGCCAATTCACCTGCCCCCACACTTCTGTCAGCCCCCTCCCTGCTCTCATTTTCTCTCTTCAGCTGAATGTGGGTGGGCCAGCAGTTTGCACACCTGCTTGCTCTTCTGGAGTAGGGATGGGTTCCAGGTGATGGGAGCCTGTGCCCTGCTTGCCCTGGTGGTGGCTGCTGGTACTGCCAAGTCTGTCTGGAGTTCGGTCTCCAATCATGCGGACAAGAGAGGGGCTTTGAGACAGAAGGATGAAGCTCTGTGCAGGGCCTCAGCTGGTGTGGACTACACTTCCATGTGGCACCTTACAATCAGGGCGGGAGAGACAAGGTATGGTTACCTCTGCCCTCAATAACAGATCTTCACGCTCCAGCGCCTCCGGCGAACAGGCGGCGTGACATTTTGTATGATGAGATTGTTCACAATCGAATGTGCCGCTACCTCGGAACGAAAAAGGCCAAGCTCTAGACAGGTCTCCCCCATAACCTTCACAGGGGTGGCTCATGGGTGGGAAAGCGTGGTGGTGGAGCCACTGGGAGGAACGGTACGGCCCCACGTCTAATGTCCAATTCTAAGTATTACTGAGAATTCAAAAGATTTCAGATGCATAAGCCCGGATTAAATAGATCATGGCACCTTGTCCCAGTTTGTTCTGTTCTGGAACAGAAGACCTGAGGCTGGGCCATGTATGAGTAGCCAAGATCTATGTCAGTATTCTCCATCTGTAGGTGGCAACCCTGTGGGGGGCTGAACAACCCTTCCAAGGTGTCACCTAAGATCATCAGAAGACACAGATATTTACATTGTGATTCATAACAGTCGCAAAATCATAGTTATGAAGTAGCAAAAAAATAATTTTAGGGTTGGGGTCACCACAATGTGAGGAACTGTATCAAAGGGTTGCAGCATTAGGAAGGTTGAGAACCACTGATCTATGTATTTGTTCCTTTTGGGTGGTGTTGGGGATCAAAGCCAGGGCATCACCTATGAGCTCTAGCGCTGAGCCGTCCCTCAAGGCCTAGAGAGTTGTTATGGTTTCATTGGCATGTTCAAGGCCTGAGGGGCCTTCTTGCAGCAAGTACCTGTGTGAGAGAGATCAGCTAACCTATTTTTGCCAGGAACCTTTAGTGTGATAACTAACCCACTTCTCTGACAGACATTAATCCATCAGAAAGGGAGCCTACACAACCGAGACACCTCTCCTCGGCCCCATCTCTCAACGCTGCTCTGCTGGGGATCCAGTTCCCAACAAGTGCCTTTGCGGAATCACGCACGCACGTTGGTGGCATGCAGAACTCTACTGTGGAGCAAGGCCATTATAAAATGTGTCGAAAAGCGGGCAGGATCCTGTCAGGGAATTCTCACAAGCTTGGTTCAGATTTTCCAGACAAACGACTCTGCTGACTGGGAATGCTGTATCCAGGTGACAACAGGGACCTCCCTGGCCAGCAGGGTGGAGACTGCAGAATGGGAAATTCCATGCACACTGGACTGCCCTCACCCACATGGTGGGAATCGCATGCCAGGAAGGAACTCCCTGCGACTGAACAAGTGTAATATTTGTTCAGAATGAAGACCCCTGCAGCTCACTACCCCACACCGCACACGGTACCCTTGCTATTGTCCAGCCCTCTGTTCCATGCAGCGCACTCAAGACAGTGTGCTTGGTTTTCTTTCTGTTTTGGCTTCCAAGGCAATTCATTCACAACCACCAACCTTTTCCCCACAACTAAGGAGGGGAAAAGTCCACAGTTACTATATAGAAATATGTATGCTCCAACCACAGAAGGCTGCCCAACTCTTTAAGGGACTCCTCAGTGGGTGCCCCGCCAGCTCCATGGCCGACACCTGGTAACTTCCTAGGCCGTCCTCAGAATGACGGTGGCTGTTTCATGCTCCTCTAGTGTCTTGGCCCCTGTAGCATCATGTGACAGAGAGGGTGCATCTGGATGACAGAGGCAGTGGCCTGGATACTGGATGCACATGTAGATACTATCTTTGTAACTCTTTGAGAACTTCAGAGCCCTTCCAGCAAAATGGCAGAGTCCAGTGCCAGGTTCTAGCTGGAGCCACGGGCCTGACAGGGTGCCTTCCTAGACATTAGTAATGCCAGCTGGTTCTCCTTGTGCCTCGTCACAAAGGCGTGGTTCTAAGAGGTTTGCCCACATGGGCTCCTCTGAACCTCATAAGTGCCACTCAAGGGAGGCAAGTAATTTGCATTGTGGTTTCTGGTCCAAGGCACCCGTGGTGGGGAAGCCACTCCATCGGTGCAGTGCCTCCTGATGCCCGGCTCCTGTGACAGACTGGACCTCATCTGACTCCTGTGCTGTCCTCCAGCTTCTTTCATGTTACACACATAGCCAACGCTCAGAAGGTAGGGGGCCTTGCCCTGAGTTCTGCAGCTCCCAGCAGTTTCCATAACTGTCCAGTTCCTCCCATCAACTCAGGCCCTCTCTGGGAGCCAACGACAAAGTTTGTGTTTCTAATTGGGTGATAACCTTAAAAAAAAAAATACCCTTAACATCTTTGATGAAAAAAATTTTTTTTTAGTACACTTTGTTCTGTAGGGGTGGGAAACAGAAAAGGAATTTTCCCAAAATTTAAAAGCATTGCTCTGTACCGAGCTCTGTGACAATGTGCTTTAATGTATTTTTGCATAAATTCCAGTATGTTTTTGATACAGTTTGATTTTTAAAAATTATGGGTGCACAGTGTGGGCATGCCATGGTACACACGCGGAGTCAGAGGGTCTTCTGGCTGGGTGAGGTAGGGTCTCTCTGGTTGTTTCGGTTGTGCCAGGTACACCAGGCTGGCTAACCTGAGCTTCTGGAAGATTCCTGCCTCGGCCTCCCAACACAGTGGAGTGTTGGGATTACAGATCAGGCTGCCGCATGGGACTTCTTACCTAGGTTCTGGGGTTCCGTTTTATTCTTTGTGGTAATTTGAATGTAATTGGCCCCCATAATCTCTTAGGGAGTGGCACTATTAGGAGATGTGGCCTTGTTGGAGGAAGCATGTCACTGTGCGGGCCAGCTTTGAGGTTTCCTATGCTTAGGATACTGCCCAGTGTGTCTGTCAATTTCCTGTTGCCTGCAAGATGTAGGACTCTAAGCTGCTTCTCCAGTACCATGTCTGCCTGCATGCCACCATGCTCCCTGCCTTCGTCGTGATGTCTCTTCACAGGAATAAAAACCCCAAGTCACCCTCTGAGCCATCTCCCTAGTCCAAAGCTTGAACACAGCAGAGCGACCTGAGCGCACTGAGGCCATTGCCAAAGGTGTTCAGTGCAGGTCAAAAAAACAAACAAACAAACAAACAAAAAAACACGTATCTGGCAGGAGCAAGGCAGCTGATCTTCCTCACAAGGTGGCCTTGGCTTGAGCAATACAGGTCTCAGAGGCTGGATCAGTGAAGGTGGCAGCTACACCAAGTGCAACACAGGCCAGGCACTTTGGTCATAAGAGACGCTAGGTCAGGAGCTGTGACACCTGGTGAAGCTCTGCACCTTCTGTGGACTTGTGCAGCCTCCAGAGACGCATGCCAAGGTGGGCTGGGGGTGACCTGGGAAGGGAACCTTGGAATGCGGGGCTGAGTGTCAGACAGACCAGGCATCGAGGTCACAAAAAGGGGAGGGGAGGGTGTCAGGGGTCCCTTGCTTGTTTGAAATTCTTGCTCTGAGTGCCACCATTAAAATCAAACATTGTATGTACTTGTCTCCTGGTGGCTTCCTTGTGGGTTTGGGTTCACTTGACCCGGGGACACATGGTGCCTCGGCCCCCTGCTGGCCCAGCATGCACCAGCTCCTGTAATGCGCTGTGAAAGCTGGAGGTGTGCGCTTTATTACTTTAATGCTTTTGCATTTATGGGGGAAATGTCTAACTAAGAAATAGCTAAATTCCCCAAATCGCATTATCAGAAAGTGGCTGGAGAGCCACACTGTGCCCCTGAGACCCTGCGCCACCTGCTTTCAGCAGCATTAATGAAATGGCAAGCGGCACCCGGGGGAACACACGTTGTCACCGGAGTGAAACCTGTAAATTCCTGACAAATGCCATCGCATTTACAGGGCGAGGGAAAAAAGCTCCACACCACTTCTCGTTTATGCTAAGGACTTTATTTTTCAGACCTTTAGAGAACAGTTTTCATCACACACTGATGGAAATGGCAGATGCCCAGGAGAGGCAGGCTCTCTCAGAGCCTAGACTACTGAGTGGACTAGATGAATGAAGGAGCCTTGGGAAACCCACCCCCCCTCTGTGCAGGTCAGGCAGGCCTGCTTCACACACTATCAAACTCCTACGTCTCCATGCAGCACCGTCACACCCACCTACACAATTAGCATGCAGAAAGACACTTCTGAGGATGGACTAGTCTCGGCCAGGGCCGCGAGGCTCTGGCTACGCACACTGGACCATGTCTGCTTAGGACAGAAGAACTGGCTGGCACAGAGCTAGCCTGGCACTCTGGAGATAGCTCACACCGCCCTGCAGATGACAGCCTGGGTCAGGGAAGGCCCCCGACAGGATGGCTGGTGATGGCTGGCACCAAGCTTATCAACACAACCCACAACCTCAGCTCTTCTTTTCCCAAACATAGCACATTTCAAGACAGAAGCACAGTCACTGATGACTTCCTGTGCAGGGTGAACGTGCACGTAGTTACAGGCCAGAGAGTCACGCTGACAGCGTTTCTGTGCTGCAGTCCGGCTTTCATCTTTGGAGTATATAATCTCCTCCCGAGGCTGCCCCTTAGATGACAATCACAAGCGATGATGGTCAAAGGAGTTGATTGGCTTTTGTCACAGCGTCGGAGCCCAAATGGGTCACCTGCAGCCTTCATGCAGAATTAGAAACTAGAAACATCATTTAAGCCTCAAAAGCAGAAGTAACTCCACGGGGACACAAAGGGGGTAGGAGCCTCTGCCAGGAGAGGCTAGAGCTGGGAGCTAGCAGCCACAGGGGAGGACACAATACTTCACAAGGGGTGGGGTGCAGGTTCATCTACTTGCTTAGCCACGGCTGGGTATTCAAGAGACCCTACTCTTGGTCTTCTGCCAGGGAGGTTGCTGCACGAAGGTAGACGGGCGTGGCCATTATTTTAGCATCTTTACCATGTACGGGCCTTGTAATCTGTAGCCAAGTTTTCGGTAGTAATTCCTGGTGCCAACGCCTGCAAGGGAGATAAAGTAAACAGAGCTCTAGTCAGCCTCAGCTTAGCAGCTGTCAGAGCCGGCATGGGCCCCAGCCTCACGCCTTGTCTCTCATTCAGACTGCATTGCCATCCAAACTGCCCTCAGCATAGCAAATCTGTCCCACTGCGATTATGCCGATGTTTAGTTGTATGAACACGGACTGCTGTGTAGGACAAATGCCCTTTCCCAACCGCTAGCACAGGACCAGGGTATATGGCACGCACACTTGTGAGGGTCTGCGTGTACCAGTGCGCGAGGGAATGCAGACGAACAGGGAGTGGGAGTTCACATATGGGGGGCCTATATTCCAAATGGCATTCTGGAGGTGAACAGGGCAGCAGCAGATGGAAAAATGGATTTCCACACAGCTTGTGTATCCCGAGGTGCTGGGATACACAAGGGGTCACAGGAAAAATTTTCTTTCTTCAGCTGTCGCCAGAGAAGTGGGTTTGAGGGAAGGGCCCTGGCTCACAGGACACATAGTTTGTGAGGAGAAAGGAGGGCTTTTCTTACCAAACTGCTTGCCAGTTCTCTGTGGATGCCAACTTAACTCAGTTCTGACAACTACTGAGAGGTAGAGCAGGTAAGTAGGGTGAGGGCTCAGCTCCCAGGATGCCACAGTCTTAGACATCAGTTGTAAACACTTCAGTCTTACCCCAACAAGGAACAGAACACCTCACCATTAGTTCCGCCCACTTCAGAGTGTCTGCGGGTTGGGAAGCGGCTGAAGCCCGTACATACGATGGACAGAGGCTCGCTCACCAGGACTAACTCTAACCAGGGGAGCCACACTGTCTTGCACACTTCAGCTTGTCGTGTTATTATTACGACTTCTGCCCAACACGGGCTTGGTGCAGAGCAAGGGGCTGGTGGACATACAAAAAATGGGCACAGGCAGCAGCTCGGACTGACAACAGGAAGGCTCAAAGCCCAAAGGGCCACCCTTCCCCAAGTTCTAGATCTGAGGGCATACTCCATGATGCTGCAGGTATCCATCCCCTCAGCGAAGAGAAGTGCTATGTCCGACTAGTGACAAAACATTGTAACCCCCAAGATAAGCGGGAACCCAAATATCTCCAGTAGTAGGTGAGTATATTCACCAGGGAATGTAACTCAGCAGTGAGAAACAACTGTTATCCGTATCCATATGGAGAAATTTCCCAGAACCGTGTGGATGGAACTAGATAATAAAACATTCCATTTCAAAATTCAGACATGGGAAAGACTCCAAAATTTGGACAACAGTTAAATCTGAAAGATGACAAGGGTTCAGGGCCTCTGTGGTGCTGAGAATGCTGTCTCACATCCAGGAAGTGGTTACACGGGATACACACTTGCTACTAAAGCTGCCATCTTGACACTTCTCTTTACTCCGTGTGTGTCACACCTCACTACAGAACCGCAAGGGCACCGCCACTTAATACACACGTTCAAGTGTTTCAAGAGTCTGACGGATTCAGCAAAATAAGGCAGAGTGGGGCAGGAGAGGAGGCAGCCAGGAAGCCAGGATCAGGACAACCCAATGTGTTACAGGTACAGACACAGTGGCCTGTGCCCAGCTCCTTCTAGAAGCCAGTTCACCAGCCACTGAACAGCAAACTCCATGCCTGACTCACTCTCAGCAGACGAAAGACCTTTTTATAGGTGGCACCGACTTGGTGAATGCCGGAGCAGGCATGACCTATATAAGAAGTCACAGAGCAGGGTCCTTCCTTGTGACCCACATCAGTGTGTGAGGACAGGAAGATAATCCCACTGGTGGAGCAACCATAGAAAGTCTAGATTCAGAGCCTAGGATCACTAATGGCAGGTCCTAAAGCTTGAACTCCCATCTGAAAACAAGTTCTTCCACACTCCAACCCTGCCTAAACGGCCCTTGTGGTATCAGAGGACAGAACAGGCTGACCGGGTTGACCCCACTGATCTGCCATGCTCACCCCCATGCAGCTCTTGCCTGACTGCCCTCCAGTCCCAGCTCAGGCACTGGAGACCCGGGGATTTCTTTCTTCTAGCCAGAGGCTAGCCCCACTTACAGGATCAACACCTCTCCCTCGTGGCTAGCAGGGCAGACTTCAATTACAGCCACTGGGTCAGCACTGCACGCTCTATTCCACTGTGTCTGCCTCCCTCCTTTTTAAGCCAACAGCTTTTGTCACTGGAGTTATTACAGTGAGTAGCACAGAATCAGGATGTAGTAAATGTCTGGGGACCTATTACACACGCGTTACTTTCATGTTGTGTACACAGAGAAAAGTGCTACTGCAGGACGCACTACAGAAAACTGAAACTGGCGTGGCACTGCGGGCCAGGCGGTGGGAAGACTACACACGGAAGGGGAGGAGCTACCCTTTGGAGCCTTTCAGACCCCCACCTTGCTGGCTGAGGGGCACCATTTTCCATGCACTTACTTATGCTGTAAAGGTCTCAAGCATTTGAAAGTGGAGCCACAGGTCTACTTAGCCTGGAAGTCATCATGCAGCTCCCACAGTGGCTGCTTCACCCCTGATGCTTAGCCACTAACTTTCTGATTGGGGGTGTCCCAAATAATCCCCTCAGATTTACTTAGTTCAGGTCTTGAACACACATAATCTGTTCATTTGTATGGTTCCTGTCAAAGCAAGATGGTGGCCTCGTTTTAAGATCTGCTTCTGGGCAAAGTGTTTTTATAGATCACAGGCCGAGATAAGTCTGGATAACCAGGATGGTGAGAGCCCTGAGTTCCTGGATGGGTGGCTAAGACATGGGCTTTCCTGGAGTTCATGGGAACATTTCTCAGCAGTTACTCCAAGTGAGCCTCCTCCTCCCAGCGGGGGGACTCCGCTCCTCCGTCACATAGAACTGGGTCTTTGAGACCAGGTTGGAAAAGGCATCGGGGCTTTGTTGGGACCCTCTCTGGCTAGATCAGGAACATACAACAGCCCCAGTCAGTTCCTGGGGCTCTTGAGAACCTTCAAGTGCTGTGGAAAGCCTGGCCTCTGGCTGGTCCAAACTCCACTCCCCGCAACCCCACATCTTCTTAGGCATCTTGTTTCCTGAAGTTAAGAATTGCCTATTTCTCCAATCTGCCAGACAAATTGGCCAGTTGGAAAGGGAATGTGGCATCACTCGGCTGCCTGAAGGCCCTTTGTGGGGCCCAGGCAAAGTCCTCAGTCACGGTAACTTTCCTGTGTTAGTCAGCCAGGAGAAAGCAATTACCCTTTGGAGCTGACGTCAGTGGCCTCCTGGACTGTGCTGACGTGCTGGGCTGTCTTGGTCCCAGATCAGCCTGGCTGCTGCCGCCTCTCCCCTACAGGAGCAGCACACAGCTGTGCAAGTAGGAGTTCTCCACACCATCACTTGTGGGGGCTGCCGAGGAGTCAAGCGCTATTGGTCGTGGTCTCTGGGGTGCTTACTATAGACTATAGAGCCCCCCGTTATCAGAGGAGCAGCAACAGTGGGGAGGGTACAGTCCAAAGTCTGGCTTTATCTTCAGGATTACCTGGTCCACAATCAGAACTTATCTACGTTGTAAGGACCTCATTTTTATGGTAGGCAGAGTAAAAATCTGTATGGTCACTACTTTGCCAGCTGTGACAATGCCAAAATGAGGCAAGAGGAAAAAGAATACCACAAAAACCGCCTACAGCAATATTCGCACATGTGACCAGCCTCCGAGTTATCTCCTTGGCCTCCATTTCTGCCTTAGGTCTTTTGGGAGAAGGAAATGTGTGTGAACAGACTTAACTGTGCAGACTACAAACAGTTATCAAATGGCTTCTGCTGTCTTCTCTCAAGGGAATGATGACCCAGGCAAAGTGGGGATTAAAGGAAGAGGGTATGACTTGCTCCAGATGAGGGGGCACTCAGCATGCAGTGGGGACGCCTCTGCTCTATAGGTAGATGATCTCCAAGCCTGGCTGCCAAGAGTCACTGGCCTCCTAGGACACCTACAAACCTGGACACTGGCAGTGACTGCATCTCAGGAACGTTTTCTATGCTGAACATGCGTAGACTCCAAGCCCCTGACACAGAAAGAAGCCCTGCTCTCTGATCCCCTCTCCCTGGCTTTGTGTGATGCCACTTAGCTTAAAACACAGTTCTGCCTACTCTAAGGAGGAAGAGAGGGCACTACTCAAGACTCCGCGCTAACTGCCTCAGCCACTGGCTATGGGAGAGGGTTAACTATGGTTGCATAACGAGGTCAATACACGGTGTATGTGTGTAGATTAAAAGAGTTAACCAGGACACAACGGGAACAAACCCAGTTGTTTAAGTTCTACACTACGGAAGACGGGGAAGATAGTTCAGGGGATGAAGGGGGGAACTCTAGTGCAGATCCCCAGCATCCACGTTAAAAGCTAGGTGTGGCTGTGTGTACTGGGTGTCTCCTTGGATGAATGACCTGTACACAATACCAAATATGCTGCTGCCTTGGACAGTGAACTATCATCAGATCTGCAGTAAGCAAATCTCTCTTACTTCTTCGAGTATCTGTTGCAGCAGTCGGATGGACTAAGACACATGGCTACGGCCAAACAATCCACAGTCTGACATGAACAGGCTCCCTTGCTACCTGTTACAGTTCACCGCCAAGCTTATAAAATGAAATTAAAAGGGGGACAGTTTCAACTACACGAATAATTACTTCATCGGGGAAATGAATCAACCCTTCACACGGATGGAAACATAAGAGAACTCAGGCTGGGATTCCAGCTGGCAAAGGCCATGGGATAACAGAACAGAGGAAGAAATAATGAGCACAAATGAGCACGTGCAAACACATTGCATCCTGGTATTCTGCAACGGAAGAAAATGCTGGTAAATGATTTAGACATTCTCATGCTGACAAGGAAAGGATTAGAAATCTGGAGGTGTATTCTTGTTCTCTGACACTTCTTCTCTTGGGGTACAAGGCTACCCTTTGTCATTAGCAATTATAACTGGATTGAATGAAGATTGAGCCCACATCACCACACTCCCATGGCCAAGTTCAAATGAG